TCTTAGATGACTTCTTGTAATGGACCATAATGCCTAGAATAATAAAAAAAACATATGTCCTTGACCTATTTCAAGATCACAGTGATCAAATGTGTTCAATACAAAATGACTGCACAACTTTTTCTGATGAACCATGAATCCTATGTACAGCACATTTCTAGAGTGTCCAAGAGGCTATCACAACTTTGCTCAAGAAAATGACATATACAGTCAAGGTCGAAATGTTACAATATTACTGCAAACAACTTCTCACTTGAGAACCACTGAAGGCTGGGAGTCAGGATACCAGTATTTGGCATGTATAGAGGTTACATTGGTGAAAGACTACCAATATAACTATGTCATATAAATGACTACTTCTAATGAAGTGTAAGGCCAAGCTGTAACAGTAATGATATTTAACCTGTGTCTGTGTTGGGATTTGAGAACAAAAGTTTGTTAATAAATTAAGCAATTTCTGTAGAATGAAGTGGCCTAAAATCATATGTGATCATGGTCTTACTGGGACAAATGGTTATTTAATAAGTTCAAACAGATTACCTTGACCTTCTTTCAAGGTCACAGAAATCATACAATATGCATAAAAAATTCAAACTACTGCTTACCATTAACTACATTTATTTTATCCCAGCCTTAAGTCATTAAATTGCTGTTTATAGATCTTGTCACATTTTTTCAAATAAATCGTCTCAACCAGTTATCAGGGTCACAGATGTCTAATGTATTGCAAACTTCATTTGACTTCTTGAGAATTTCAGCTTTGGATGTAGTTTTCACACACTATTAAATAACTGGTTAGTGATAAATGCCCCTTCAAGGTCTTCTTGTTTCTATTCCTTTAATGCGTTTGCAGAGAGGTCGAGCTGACTGCGTACTGTTGGTCTGATCGTAGATTACACCGCACTCACCGATGCAGGCGAACATTTTAATTAGCATAAATAAACTGGTAGCTTCTTCCTACAATGTTGTCGAATGCTTTCATAATGACAAAAATATTCTGGATTAATGTTGAAGATACAATGAGGTGTTGCCAGTTCTGTAGTATTTAATAGGACAAGATGGAATGTTAGACTTTTTCTTATGGATGAAATGTTTTTCAGACTGATAGTGATCATTTCTTTTATAGAGATTGTGCTTATCGTTTTGATGAAGGCTTGTTACACTTCACCCTCTGAAGATCCAATTGCATCAAAATCCAACCTAGAACAATCCTGGTTATCCAAATTTCATTTGAATGACTCCATTTAATATTTCATCTGATCTATCGATCTACCCTTGATCTGAACTATTTATGTCCCCCATTTGGTTAGGATATTTGGCTCCCGCAGCATCAGTAGCAGATTGTCTCCCTTGTCAATCTTTCTTCACACCATATGCATGAAGTCTGCTGATATCAAGAATGGTTGCTCCTGAAAGCTTCCCAATCTTTCCAGATATAGAGAGATCAACACAGATTATCTCCCTTGATAGCTATTCAGTCTGCAGTGTTATAAAACAGATGGATGAAGACAAATTAACTGGTTGATTGGTGATGTGGGTTTTATGCCATGCTTTACTCATTATTAACGGCTTAACACCTTCTGTAAATGAAACAAATGAGCTGTACTTGGTGTGCAAGCCATGTAATTTTATGCCACTGCTAAGTAGCCAGGAGTATTATCTTTTCGGTCTGATCTGTCTGTCAGTTGGTCAGTAATTGTCCTCAGCCACTAGAAGAATCATTTTAAGTCCAGTTTAACCGAACTTTGTGCGAGTGTCAAGCATTTGATATCTTGACCAATTTGTGTTTATGATCACTCACCCTAAGGTTAAGGTCACTACTCTTTAATCTTAAATTTCTAGAAGGCTTATTTATGATCATATTGTTACTTAACCGAGTGCATGTCTCAAGTACTTGGATGTCTTCGACAAGTTCAGGTTTTTGAGCTCTTTCTGCAAGGTCAAGGTCATAGATTATACAGTCATAAGATTTTGTCATCGCTCTAAAAGCCTTGGTTCACTTGTGTCAAAAACTTAAATATCTGAAATGAATTGTATGTTTTAGCATTCATTCCAAGCTCAAGTTCATCATTATAGATAGATTTGTTTTCACTGCTCTAGTACTTTCATATCTCTAATGAATTTATGTTTGCTCACCCAAGGTCAAGGTCATTATGTCAAGGTAAGATACACTTCATAACACATCAATGGAATGATAACAATGTATAAAGACAATCAACTTCTCACACATGCTTAATTTGGCTACTTACCAAAACAACATTCACACAAGTGGACTTATTGCAAACAACAAACTGGCTACAAATCGGGATTAAACTAACGAATGCTCACAATGATTACCACCGCTACGCAGGAAAAGCTGCACTTACAATTGATGTCAGGTTTAAAGATAATGAGGCCATTTACACCTCAATATTTACAGGTCTGTTCATACCATAAAGAGTAAGCTAAAAATAATATATAGCTACCGCATTTGTAACACGGTGTCACGATCATTTCGTAATAGATATCGTTCTATTATGAAAATCAGAGCTTCAGTTATGAAATGACTGGCAGGCGCATTGTAACCCTGGTCATAAAATACTAGCCACTTAACTTGTACCAACTTGGAGAGGGGGAATTTCTCTTTAGCTCATTCTATGGAGTGTCAGACTAGTTAGCCAGAGGTTGTTGGTTTGATCCCTAGTGGAGGCGTTGTAGAATACCCACATCTGTGACACCATTGAAGGGTACAACACTGCAGTGGTGCTAAATAACATGTACATGTAGTAGTACTAAATAACATGTACATGTAGTAGCACTTAATAACATGTACATGCAGTAGTACTAAATAACATGTACATGTAGTGGTACTAAATAACATGTACATGTAGTAGTACTAAATAACATGTCCATGCAGTGGTACTAAATAACATGTACATGTAGTGGTACTAAATAACATGTACATGTAGTAGTACTAAATAACATGTACATGCAGTAGTACTAAATAACATGTACATGCAGTAGTACTAAATAACATGTACATGCAGTAGTACTAAATAACATGTACATGTAGTAGTACTAAATAACATGTACATGTAGTAGTACTAAATAACATGTACATGTAGTAGTACTAAATAACATGTACATGTAGTAGTACTAAATAACATGTACATGTAGTAGTACTAAATAACATGTACATGTAGTAGTACTAAATAACATGTACATGTAGTAGTACTAAATAACATGTACATGTAGTAGTACTAAATAACATGTACATGTAGTAGTACTAAATAACATGTACATGCAGTAGTACTAAATAACATGTACATGCAGTAGTACTAAATAACATGTACATGCAGTAGTACTAAATAACATGTACATGTAGTAGTACTAAATAACATGTACATGTAGTAGTACTAAATAACATGTACATGTAGTAGTACTAAATAACATGTACATGCAGTAGTACTAAATAACATGTACATGCAGTAGTACTAAATAACATGTACATGCAGTAGTACTAAATAACATGTACATGTAGTAGTACTAAATAACATGTACATGTAGTAGTACTAAATAACATGTACATGTAGTAGTACTAAATAACATGTACATGTAGTAGTACTAAATAACATGTACATGTAGTAGTACTAAATAACATGTACATGTAGTAGTACTAAATAACATGTACATGTAGTAGTACTAAATAACATGTACATGTAGTAGTACTAAATAACATGTACATGCAGTAGTACTAAATAACATGTACATGCAGTAGTACTAAATAACATGTACATGCAGTAGTACTAAATAACATGTACATGTAGTAGTACTAAATAACATGTACATGTAGTAGTACTAAATAACATGTACATGTAGTAGTACTAAATAACATGTACATGTAGTAGTACTAAATAACATGTACATGTAGTAGTACTAAATAACATGTACATGCAGTAGTACTAAATAACATGTACATGCAGTAGTACTAAATAACATGTACATGCAGTAGTACTAAATAACATGTACATGTAGTAGTACTAAATAACATGTACATGTAGTAGTACTAAATAACATGTACATGTAGTAGTACTAAATAACATGTACATGCAGTAGTACTAAATAACATGTACATGCAGTAGTACTAAATAACATGTACATGCAGTAGTACTAAATAACATGTACATGTAGTAGTACTAAATAACATGTACATGTAGTAGTACTAAATAACATGTACATGTAGTAGTACTAAATAACATGTACATGCAGTAGTACTAAATAACATGTACATGCAGTAGTACTAAATAACATGTACATGCAGTAGTACTAAATAACATGTACATGTAGTAGTACTAAATAACATGTACATGTAGTAGTACTAAATAACATGTACATGTAGTAGTACTAAATAACATGTACATGTAGTAGTACTAAATAACATGTACATGTAGTAGTACTAAATAACATGTACATGTAGTAGCACTTAATAACATGAACATGCAGTAGTACTAAATAACATGTACATGCAGGTAGTACTAAATAACATGTACATGTAGTACATGTCCATGCAGTGGTACTAAATAACATGTACATGTAGTGGTACTAAATAACATGTCCATGCAGTGGTACTAAATAACATGTACATGCAGTAGTACTAAATAACATGTACATGTAGTAGTACTAAGTAACATGTACATGCAGAAGTACTAAGTAACATGTACATGCAGGTAGTACTAAATAACATGTACATGTACATGTGGTTATATATAACATTTTGACTTTGGTCTCCGTATTATATTTTAACTAAGTAAGTAATAATCTGTACAGATTTTTTTTAATTTTCTTCCAAAAGAACACTAATTGATGCAAATAGCTGTTTTTGCTGATAACGCTTTGAACCTGTGTTTATGGTGACAGACGGTATGGATTGTAGCGGTGTGATTTTTATTGTAGATATCACAGTGATCTCCCAACTCCCCAGAATCACCATTGATTTGTTTTGTCCCTGTTGTGTGTTTCAGATTGCAGGAATTTGTGATCAAGGGCCAGCTACTGTCCAGCACGTCAGGAAATCTTCGGTCAGTCCTTAATACAGATCGGATTCCTGGACCAGTCCTAAATATAGAGGAAAACCTGGGTTTGTCCTAAATACAGAGTGATCCCTGGACCTGTCCCAAATAGAGAGGAAAACCTTGGTCGGTCCGTAATATAGAGGAAAATCTAAACCTGACCATAATTCAAAAGAAACCCTTGATCTGTCATAAATACTGAGGAAGCCCAGGATCTGATTCTATAAATGGTACTATAATGTGGAGGCTGACTGGACTATAAACACAGACGAAATGGGCACTGTATGAATTAAATCCTGTTCTGTATGAAAAATGGATGGTACACCATAATCTCTTCTTACTAGGATTCTGGATTTCAAATAGCCTTATGTTGCTATGATATGCTATACAGTGGTTTTTGAATACATACAAGATGTAAGACAACTCTAACACAAGGACACATGTTGTTCCATCTTCTATCATCAAGGTAGACAAATGGAGTATTCTACTGTACATGTAATGCTGATTAGAGAAGTGGAGGAGTCAAATCATTTTTCATCATAAACTTTTGTTATGTGATACTGATGTGGCCATAATAATGGATAGTAAGCCATAACTGTCGGTCACTTTTCCATAGAGATCAACAGTCAGGGTCAGTTCCCGAGGAATGTGACTCGGTACAGTAAGTATTGTCAGCTTCTTTTGGTTCTTGGATATATATACAGAAACACTGACAAGACTCTGGGTTTCGGTTGTCGACTGACTTGGGTTACAGGTTGGTATATATTGATGTTTAGGATAATGAGATGAGGTTTCTATTGTTGTGGACTGATTCATTTTTGTTGTGTAGTAGACACTGTAGATCTATGTTTTCACATGCATGAACAAAGATAGAGGTATTCATAGGTGAATGATCTACAGAGGAAACAAAAGCACACAAATATTCTTGAAGCCATTGATTTGCTCCTCAAATTGTCAGCTTAATCAGAAAATAACATAAACCTCCCTATACAATATAAAGAAGTACTTGTTGAGGAATTGTTTGGTATGTATATTGATGATTTGATAATAGAATATCTACAAATCATGAACTCCAAATCAATTTACAACAAATCTGTTAAGTAAGGACTGTGAATAACGGCGATATCGAAATACAGTCAAGAGCCCACTTGTGACTAGACAGGACATGATATATTCATGGAATGCTTTCATTTGATCAAATATGAAATATTTTTGATAGGTTATGTTGATATTAGATCCAAATAATAAATACATCAATGAAAAAAATTACAGTACAGAATAAGATAATGTTATATTAACCTTAAAATACTGGACATCTGGTTAAGCTTTGCTTTTTCTGTGGCAATTTGATTTTTGTATACAGAAGGTATCCCTGACATCCGATATTGATTGTTGTATACAGTACGTTTCCCTGATGTCCAATATTGATTGTTGTATAGAGTACGTTTCCCCGATGTCCCATATTGATTGTTGTATAGAGTACATGTCCCGGATGTCCCATATTGATTGGTGTATAGAGTATGTGTCACTGATGTCCCATATTGATTGTTGTATACAGTTTGTGTCCCTGTTGTCCCATATTGATTGTTGTATAGAGTTTGTGTCCCAGATGTCCGATATTGATTGTTGCATAGAGTACATGTCCCTGATGTCCCATATTGATTGTTGTATAGAGTAGGTATCCCAGATGTCCCATATTGATTGTTGTATAGAGTATGTGTCACTGATGTCCCATATTGATTGTTGTATAGAGTAGGTGTCCCAGATGTCCCATATTGATTGTTGTATAGAGTATGTGTCACTGATGTCCTATATTGATTGTTGTATAGAGTATGTGTCACTGATCTCCTATATTGATTGTTGTATAGAGTATGTGTCCCAGATGTCCGATATTGATTGTTGTATAGAGTACATGTCCCTGATGTCCCATATTGATTGTTTTATAGAGTACATGCATGTCCCTGATGTCCAATATTTATTGTTGTATAGAGTACATGTCCCTGATGTTCAATATTCATTGTTGTATAGAGGACATGTCCCTGATGTCCAATATTTATTGTTGTATAGAGGACATGTCCCTGATGTCCAATATTCATATAGAGGACATCCCACCGATGTCCCATATTGATTGCTGTATAGAGTACGTCTCACTGATGTCCCATATTAATTGTTGTATAGAGTACATGTCCCTGATGTCCAATATTCATTGTTGTATAGAGGACATCCCACCGATGTCCCATATTGATTGCTGTAAAGAGTACGTCTCACTGATGTCCCATATTAATTGTTGTATAGAGTACATGTCCCTGATGTCAATATTCATTGTTTTATAGAGTACATGTCCCTTATGTCCCATATTGGTTGTTGTATAGAGTACATGTCCCTGATGTCCCATATTGATTGTTGTATAGAGTACATGTCCCTGATGTCCAATATTCATTGTTTTATAGAGTACATGTCCCTGATGTCCCATATTGGTTGTTGTATAGAGTACATGTTCCTGATGTCCAATATTGATTGCTGTATAGAGTACATGTCCCTGATGTCCCATATTGATTGTTGTATAGAGGACATGTTCCTGATGTCCCATATTGATTGTTGTACAGAGTATGTGTCCCTGATATCCCATATTGATTGTTGTACAGAGTATGTGTCCCTGATATCCCATATTGATTGTTGTATAGAGTATGTGTCCCTGATGTACCATATTGTTTGCTGTATAGAGTACGTCCTCCAGATGTCCCATATTGATTTTTAGCTCACCTCGTCAGTCGTCTGTCCGTCTGTCCATCAACTATTCCTTTAAAACGCTACTTGTCCTGAAAGGCCTAGTAGATTTTGACTAAATTTGGTCTGGAGCATGCTTAGGCAAAGGGGACTCAATTTTGTATAAACGATGGTTGTGGTCCCCCTGGGGGCTGAGAGGCGGGGCCCAATAGGGGAAATATAGCAAATTCTTTAAAATCCTTCTCCTTCTGTAGGAATGAAATGATTTGTTCCATATTTGGTCAGAAGCATCATTGGGGGAAGGGGAACAAATTTTGTATAAATGGTGGGTCTGGCCTCCCTGGGGGCTGAGGGGCGAGGCCCAATAGGGGAAATATAGCAAAATTGTAACAATAGTTTCAGATTCATGTATAAATAATATTGGAATTTAAGACATAGATCTCCTGTAGGTCATTGGAGGAGACAAACTCACACACATATGTTCCTAGCCGTCCTGTGTTGTTAAAGGTGAGGAAAACACTTGGTACAAGTGACCTGTGATTTATCTTAACCAAGTGTGTCTGTGGTACGGTGTGTCTGGTTTTCATTATAAACAACCTTGACATATCTGTCCATTATAAATAGGGATTTCTACATTGATACAGGTCACTGTGAAATGCTTACCTTTTCACATATGTACAATTCTGTCCTCCATTATGACCTGCCGAACTTTAGACAGATGCTCTACCAGTTGAGCTACCTAGTTGTTGACGATTGACCCAGTCCAGTTTCGCTTCATGACCACAAGTATAAATATCAACCTTTATGCTTGTTGGAAAACGCCAACAATTTAAACACTGACTTCCGTCAGTGAGATGAAACCTGCATGAGTGGAATCATTAAGTAGGCAAAAAACCAACCAACCAACCAACTTGTTGGAAACACACTGCACATACTGAACTCTGCCAACTCTACTTATTTTGGAGGGAGACTCACGATTTTGGACCCTGAAATTGAGCATTTTCAACCAGTGAATTGGATGAAGTACATTGTATTCCTATTTTCTAAGATCTGATAATTTCATCTGAAAGAACAACTCAAAAGATGCCATTTAAAAATGTATTTTTTCCTAGGGTGTACATATTTTTAGGTCACCTGAGACAAAGTCTCAAGTGACCTATTGCGATCGCCTTTTGTCCGTCGTCGTCCGTCGTCCGTCGTCCGTCGTGCGTCCGTAAACAATTTACATTTTCGACTTCTTCTCCAAAACCCCTGAACCAATTTCAATGAAATTTTGCAGGGACCTTCCATGGACAAAGGTCAACAAAAATAGT